GTATGTTCGTTTACACACAGACAGATACAACAATACTTCTTCTGTCGAAGACCAGAAAAGATCGGGACAAGACGGGAAAAGATGCTGTTAAAACTACAAAGGCTGATAATGCTTTTAAAGCCCGAATTCGTCGAAACCCCATTAAGAAGCAAAAAATCTTATCGCGAGAAATGAAAATTCCCACTAGGACTCTGTCGTGTGTTATAAAACAAGACCTGAAACACGGTGCTTATCGTTGATATACAGGACATGCCCTAAATCAATCTCTACAATAAAAGAGAGTGGATAGATCAAAATGCCCTCTGTCGCTATACGCAGGTAAAAAGCACAGAAATATCCTCTTTACCGATGGAAAAAAATCACGATTGAAGATCAGTACAATAAGCAAAATGATAAAGTGTACGCTCACAGTTCTAAAGAAGCTGCTCAAGTGATCGGTAAGGTACAACGTGGTCAACATTTTCGTTTACGTATTGTTACAAAGTGTATCAAGATACAGTCTTGTATCATGTCGTAAAACCTCTCAGCAATTCACTTTTTAAAAATATACTTTCTTTCAAGCAGGATTCTGTACCTGGTTAAAAGGTACGAACTACCCGAGCCTGGCTTGAAACCAACGTTCTGGACTTTATAAGAGCTGAAGACTGGCCCTCATCTAGCCCAGACTTCAACCCTTTAGACTTAAAAATTAAATTATGTCAGTCAGTTTTAGAGGACATGGCCTGCTCTAAACATCACGGCGACATTGAGTCTCTTAAAAAATCTTTGGAGCCAGCAGTGGCGAAATTTCCCTTGGAAACACTGCGTAAATCCATAGATTCGTGGTCAAACAGATTAAAGGCCTGTATAAAAGCCAAAGGTGGCCATTTGGAATAGTTTTTTTTTTTGCTGAGACTGTAATATAATATATGTATGTACAAATTTTAATATAGCTGCCTAAAAAAACTTCTGACTGGACTATATGGAAATATATTTCATAAATAGTTCTACAAAAAGTCCGCGACAGCATATATCTTTACTGTGTAAGGAATAATAGTGAATCGAAAATAAAATAAAATTTGATATTTTTTTAACGTTTTGGTTCAATAAATATTTCCGGTAAGTGGGGAATTTATTGTTTGTGTTCTTTTATGCTGATATTTTCGGTAAAAGAAACTTGTCATTTAATTTGGTAAACAATGATTCATTATTCGCAAATTTACAAAACTGGGGGGTTATCGTTCTATATTTGTCAATCGGGTTATGATCTTGTGTTATGTTGCGAAAAAAATACGATTCTCTTTTTGACCATCTTATATATAAAATTTTGTGTGTCACAATGTTAGTTACCATAATGTACTCCTCCGAAACGGCTTGACCGATTTTTATGAAATTTTATATGCATATTCAGTAGGTCTGAGAATCGGCTACTATGTATTTTTCCTCTTTTCTATCATACCCCTGAGTGATAAGCGTTGTCCACCCCTAACATTTTATTTTTTGTCATTTTTTTTTATAATGTGGTATTAAAAATCACATACAACCCCAAATTTTCACTCTTCTACCGCCAACCCCTAATTTTATGGCGGTACGAAGTTCACTGGGTCAGCTAGTTTCTTATAATCGTCAACAATTTCTAATAAATGGATATATGAGAGTTGTAGGAACAATTGAGTGGTCTGCTCATCGAGGGTTAGTTTGTCGATAAAGCTATTAAAAACATTGCCCCTGGAGTAGGAGTCACAATCGAATTTTTAAACACAATGCGATACATTTAGAGGACAGGGTCAAATATAACTAAAAATGTTGCTATTGATATTGTGCTGGTATTTTTTACGTACCTGCATATTAAGTCATAAAGAACTACTTTCCTGTAGTTGATTTAATTTTACACATTCTTGCGAAAGTTGAGGCCCATGTAGCCTTGAACTGGGTGGTACGGTTTCTGTATGGATTAATAAATCAGTTGTTTAGACCACCGCAAGCTACGTATTAACTCCCGAAAATCGATCCACGCGTTTGGTCTCTAGTGTGCCACAAAGAAACATACATATTAAATTGACTGTTATACACCTGTCGGCGCGACGCGCTTCGCGCTGCTTGCGAGCGCAGTCGGGTAAAAACAAACAAAAATGTAAAAAAAATCATTCTGAAGTTGATCATCGATTACTTTCAAGAATTCGTTTTACGTTTACCTAACTAAAATTACTATTCATAATAATAAAATATCGAAATTCAAATATACTTTTAGACTGGGAGGAGAGAAAACACTAGATTTGCCAGCTGCTAACTTTTCCGTGTACATAGGTAGTAAACTTCATCCTTAGATACACCTGACCTATTTTGCACTTTTGTAAGCGAACAATAATATAACCGATTACCACCTAACCAACGCCTTAAGTGGCATATCTATATTCAAGATCAGAATTTATTAACAAACAGACCAAGTCAAAAGACTCACAAAATTAAAGGCAATATACAAAGCTCTTAACGCAATAAACATAAACACGCAAAAGATAGAAAAAATCATATGAAAAATCTAAATAAAAAAAAGTATCATAGTCACGGCAATATATACTAATAGGTATTGATTATGCAAATTGATGCCCTAAGAAGCCCTAAATACATAGTAGTAAAGAAATATGTATAATTTCACATATCATTATTTCAATATCTCAAAAAGACTGAGATATCAGCAATTCACAACGTGACTGAATCGCTGATTCTGTTTTTTGTATGAAATTGTAAGCGAATCACGTTCGTTATTGTTTCCTTCAGTAACAATTGTGAAGGTGTTAGTGATGTTGTTTACCTTGGAAGTGTATTAAGCAGCATTATGATCACCTAATTTATATTCGGCAACAACGCAACTAGTTAGTCCCAAATCTGTTACAAGATAGAAACAACAAACCTGCCGAATGGTCATTGTCACATGATTTGTCCACAGATGAATGATTAGGCTGACCAATCATTCATCTATGGATTTGTCACATGGAATTGATGGACTAGTGATAAGAGTCTGCTTCGTAATTTTCCTGGATATAATTATCTACAAACAAATGGGGAATCCAGAAGATAACTTAGAGTAAGTAAGTATTTGTTTATGGGAATTTCCTATCTGATTGGCAGTTTCTTGATTATCCCGCCATTGTGATGACTTACTCATATCATACTTTTTACATAACACCAAAAATTAAAATTAGGCTAACAAATAATAGAGCTGCACCGGTAGCAAATCCAATGACATTAAATATTGAATTTAAGAAAGTGGTCCCGCCATTTTGACAGTAATAAAAAATCACGGTTATCGATTGCCCTTCACACATTGGAAAAACAGATGGACTGATCGGGCCATTACCTACAACCCTGCCATTCTGATAGTGGCTCTACCCTCCGCATATTATTCCTTACAGGGTGTGCGAGAGGGACAGAATGCGTTGTCATTTGCGATTCGTTTCTTTATTGGCGCAAGTATATATCTATCTTCCCGATTCAGATGGGAACACAATCTGCTGACACATCGTATAAGAAGTCAGTTCTTATTTCCCTGAGTTAAAAACACATTTAGATACCTATTTATTTCAGACTAGTGGTGCCATTGACTTTATCCACGTGGAATAATACTACTCCGTACTATTTATTCTTCATCCCATTCACGGTTTTTATTTTTCTTGTTTTTCGTGGCATAATCTAATATACGTATCCTTTTACACCAAAGTCCCCAATATCTCGATATCCTGCCTAGACACCAATAACAATATGCCACATATCATTTTTTATGTACTTTAACTATTATTATGGCGAAAAGTCCCAAGGTGCTGTGTGAAAAAAGTTATGACGCAATAAAGCCAGACTTCATTCGCAAATAATATGTGTCAAATCTAAATAACAAATATATTATAATATAAATATATTTAGTTACTGCCATAGTATCTTATCATACATCATTATACTCTGGGGAGTAGCAGCCGATATTGAAAGTATATTCATTCTACAAAAAAGAGCTGTGCGATCTATTTATTTATCAATTGAGTAGCCGAACATCGCTTAGAGAAAATTTTAAAGAAATTGTCATTTTGAGTGTTGCTTCTTAATTTATTTACAATTGCATACTCCTCGTTGAAAATAATATCAGTTTGTATACCAAACACAGTAACGTGCACAATTTTAAAATCAGTTCGTCAGATTAGGCGTGAAGGGAAAGTAGACACACAGAGGCAAACTAACTTTCTAATATTAGTATGTCTAACTTACATTAAGTAAAAAAAAAGTGGTTATTACTACTATTACATCCTTACACTGGAATGGTAGAGGCAAAATTTTCTCACTTGACTGTTGCATTAAATAACCCAAGGACTGAATTCCAGTAGAAGTCATAGTTATGTTCGTGTGGTGAAATCATTTTATGTTTTGAATCCAACACAGTTTTTTGAAACAAGTAAATAGATAATAAACTAAAATATTTTTTCTCCTGCATCAAAGTTATTAGAATAAATAACAACCTTGAAATAAGCACCTACTTAGTTGGAAATTAAATAAGAAATGATATAATTCTCTCCCGTGTAAAGTATCATTTTTCATCTTTTACCTGCCAAATGAATTGATGACCTCACTGCTGGGGCACTCCCTATAGGTGGAATAGGGAGATTGGGCCATGACATGTTCCACCACGCGAGCCCAGTGTTGATTGGTGGGTGCTAACGACTGCAGATGCAGCCGGGACCAATAGCCTAACTTGCCTTTCGAAGCACGGAGAAGCTCGAGATAAATAGTTTTTGGTCAACCATCCAATGACCGACCATTTCGAAAGTTCCACAACTTCCATGATCGCATGCTATACACGCTTTCCACCTGCGCCATCGAGTTCAGACGAAGAAGAAGAAAGAGTTTAGTATCTGATCTACTTATTCGTTTTGTAAAAATCCACGGCGCCCCGCAGTTACTTGCCAATTATGTTGTGAGGAGGTAAAGTGAAGGAATTTTATTTTACAGTAGATTCACCCGGTGACTGAGATGCGTACCTCGGGCATACATGCTGACGTCACGAAGCAAAGTTTCACAGGACTCTCGCTCGTTGCCATCTAGTTCCCTGACTGCTTTCAGTATCCCTTTTTTGCGTAGACCCCACTCCAAACTTTTCCCTGTACAAAACATAATTGAATTAAGAAGGTTTTTAAGATGGACCCAATCATCATGAGGCAGTAGCGCACCGCATGCGAAATATTCCCATTAGGTGGAATTAGACGATTCATCAAAAGTGATTCATTTTTGCAATGATTTGTGGATTATTAACAGTGAAATGCATTGTTTGTATATAGACGTATCACTTTTGATAAAAGATAATATTTTATTCCTTGAGGAATTCCCGCGTGAACATCATCTGTGTCGAGTTTTTTAATTAAAGAATAAATACTGAGACCGTGTAAGAAATGAACTGTGAATGAGCTGTCGCTGTTTAGACGTTTCACTTGTCGTTCATTGCCGATGAATGATCACAAATGCATGATCGATTCAAGTGAAAACAATCGGGAGCCTGAAGCTTTCATCGCGAAGGCACATCGCGATTTATATCAATAAACGTCATTCAGACATTTCCTTTTGGGTTTTACATCGATGAAGCATCGAAAATGAAAGCAAAAATGAACCGTCTAATTTTAGCTTTACTAAGAACTCACGGCGCGATATTCTCCCGCGCCCGCCGCGTCTACGGGACCGCAACTTGCGTGGAAATTCAAATTTTATGGAAACGCAAAGCAAAACTGACGGCGCGATTTGCGGCCCTGCAGAGCGGGTTTTAGTGTCGCCGCACACGGGCCACACGCCACAGCCTTGTAACGCCGCCACGAGAAGCTAGAAGCGGCTACTAAAGTGGCTGAAGTGCGCGACAGCGGCCGACTAAGGTAAGGGAGAGAGGGGTGGGGAATCGCGCGAGTGACGTGTGGCGACGTTTTGTATCTGCGCATTCCACGATTAAGTGACCGGTGCGAACCACAAGAAGCGGGCAACGACGATTTGTAGCGTGTGGCGGCCACCGGCATACCGTGTGTGGCGAGTCCATATAAAATGTATGAAAACTACAAGAAATATGCCGGTGGCGGCGTTTTGTGGTTGTGGTCGGTGACCCGTGTGCGGCGACACTTATGTGGATGACCAAAAGGCCCGTTCTGAATTCAAAGTCTGCGGGCCCGCAAGGTCGCGGGCTCCGTCGTGAGTTTTGAAATGAAACAGTTTTCCCGCTGCCGCGGCGGGCGCGGGAAAACATTGCGCCGTAAATTCTTAACCTTACGCTATAAGCAGCACCGATCCGTTAATGTAGTTGTTAGACGCCAACGATCAGCCAACAATATTAAAAACCCACGCCATACAGAGACTGATAGTAGAGTACATTTTATGATCAATGATTGAAAATGATAAGCAACTTTCACAATACTTTAATACATTTATTGCAAAAAAATTAAGTAGTTGGTCTGCTTATTTTTTGTGCACCGGGGTGGGGCACTAGTATTTATGTGTATAGTTAATATCTATTGTATGGTATGCACGATGCTCCACCAACAAAGCAAAGACACATTTTTAATTGTAAGCAAATTTAAAAAATATCATACATAACAAAAACTTACATATTATTCAATAGGAGAAAATTTTTAAAAAACCCGATGTATCTAATTCGGCGTTACAATATTTTAAGAATAGGAAACCTTACCGAAACTTCCGAACAAAAGGAAGAACAAAACAAAAATCCAACGTAATATTAACGGTAGGAATATAAACTTCGCTATTCGGGTCACGATGTTGAATTGAATTTATAGGTTGCCCAAATAGGAAAAAAATTATGGGACTCCGACTAAATTATTTACCGCTATATTTAATATTTGAACAATGCTTTCAAAGTACGTAGTACGTAGTTTACGTAGCATTCAATAGTGGTTTATGGTATAGTAGTATGAGCCCGCAACTTCGTATGCGTGGAAATATTGGTTTCCCATACAAACTTCCCTTTTCACCCCGTTAAAGAATGATTTCTAGGATAAAAACTATCCTATGTACCTCCCTGGTGCTCAAACTATCTCCATACCACATTGAAATCAGTTTAGCTGTTATAAGAGGTATCGAAGTATGGACAATTTTTAACTAAATTAATCGTTATAGAAACCAATATTTTCGATGACGATTTATCTAATGACGTATAATATAAAACGCTGGTAAACAATAAACACCGTGAGCAGCCGGCACTGGCAGTACGACATCCTCTGCTAACCCACGATGAGAGAGAACAGGTCCAACTTATCGAGCAGTAACGCGACGTACGCCTTCCCGAACCACCTGAACACGCTGGGAAACACCGTGGGTAACCGGCACTGGCAGTACGACATCCTCTTCAGCGTCGGGTACTCGCCCTTGTCGTTATCATTATGTACTCACCCACGGTGAGAGAGAACAGGTCTGACTTGTCGAGCAGTAACGCAACGTGCGCCCACCCGAACTGCTCGAACACGCTGGTGAACACCGTGGACAGTCGGCACTGGTAGTACGACATCCTCGTCAGCGTCGAGTACTCGCCCTTGTCGTTATCATTATGTACTCACCCACGGTAAGAGAGAACAGATCCGACTTGTCGAGCAGTAACGTAACGTGCGCCCACCCGAACTGCTCGAACACGCTGGTGAACACTGTGGACAGTCGGCACTGGTAGTACGACATCCTCGTCAGCGTCGAGTACTCGCCCTTGTCGTTATCATTATGTACTCACCAACGGTGAGAGAAAACAGTACCCCTAGCACGAACCATTATCGAATTCGAATAGTTTGCAAACCGAAATGTCAATGTCAAATTTTTTATAGAATCTTGAACAGCAGCGCCACAAAGTACGTAACGGGACCTAAAAATCAATACACATTTGACAATGACATTTCGGCCTCGCAAACGATACGAATTCGATATTGGTTCGTGCTAGGGGTACAGGTCCGACTTGTCGAGCAGTAACGCGACGGGCGCCTACCCAAACCGCTCGAACATGCTGGTGAACACCGTGGGCAGCCGGCACTGGCAGTACGACATCCTCGTCAGCTTCGGTTACTCGCCTTTGTCGTTATCATTATGTACTCACCCACGGTGAGAGAGAACAGGTCTGACTTGTCGAGCAATAACGCAACGTGCGCCCACCCGAACCGCTCGAACACGCTGGTGAACACCGTGGGCAGCCGGCACTGGCAGTACGACATCCTTGTCAGCGTCGGGTACTTGCCCTTGTCGTTGAACAATGTTGTGGGCTACGACAACACAAGTTATTTTTATATTAGGTCAACCACATAATTAAAGTACCTAACTAATAAAATAATTGTGATGTCAGCTACCGAAGGTGTATCTCACAGTTTACTAGAATATCTTATAAGTAAATATTATAAGGATAAATTAACAGCTGTACCTTGATTCCCTTCCGTAAATTCCTCAATCTATGCATGCGGCTAACCATGCTTGCAGGTGCCGCCAGTTCGCCCTCCGATGGAGGCTGCAACAAAGAGAATTTCCATAATAATAATGTAAAAAAATTACTGAGATAGAGATGACTTACCTTAAACAGACACAAAATAAAAGCGCTGATATATTTTTTAAGTTTGTCGTAAGATCGATCACCACGTCTAGGGATTAGGCTATTTTCTTTGAGCTTTAAAAAAGAGTGCTTAAGTCATTTTGTTACGTAATTAATGACACTTCGGGGATTTAAACTTAGTTAGACCATAGAAATAAATATAATAGATTTTTTGTGTTTTGATGTATAACAAGCATTTATACCCAAGTCCTAGTTGTTATACATTTACATTTCTACAATAATCTACTAAGCTATGTATAATTATAAATATTTATTTCTCGAAGTTACCTTAGTACTGTGCTAATATCCCATAACACAAGCGTCACAGTGTTTACTTTGGGGCTAAGCTAATTGCTCCGAGTGTAACATTTTTTTTATATTTGTTTAATTATGTAAAAAGTACTTAACTGTTTCTTTTCGGTTGTCGGTCACCTAGTTAAATTTTACTATTAGTTAATATGTCAAATATCTAGTTGAATATAGAATGTGTGAAATTTTTATTTTTTCTTTAGTATTTTATATCAACTGTAGTCTGATAACACATTAACTATGTATCAAACAAAGCTACAAAGAAGCCCTTCAACATCTAAACCAGCCGAAACTTGGAGAATTTTGGTATGAAGAAAAACGGATCGTTGGAGAAAAATGGAACGTTGAAGAAAAACAATAAACAAGGCTACTTGTGCCTCGATAGTAGGCAGCTCACAATAAAGGTTAAAGGTCAAACAACTTTCCTGTTTTATCCCGTCCCCTAATATAACTTGACGTAGCTGCCGCATGTGCCACCGCATAACTGTCTATCGCATATTTATAGTTGTCGGAGTACTTAAACATCATCTACCTATACGAAAATCATACTTTTACAAACTTTTTACTATTCACTAGATGGATCTTTAACGCAATTAAATAGCAAATACTCTCTATCTGTTATACTCTTAACTATTCACTATTTAATCATAATAATTTAATATATTGACATAATGTAATGACCGAGATTCTTATAGAAATGCTAATAATAAAGAAATATGCATTAAATTCAGTATTATACTTAAGAATACTTTTTTATTACTATATAATTTTATCAACTTAATTTTGCAATACCGTAAATAAGGATATATGTAATATCTGTTTACTTTTGTACATGATAGCAAAATTAATAAATTCCTACTTATCATCGTTAACTTATGTTATACCTACACATACTAAATGCAGATTTTTAACATTCACTAAAAATACAAGTAATCAAAAGCCAACAACAGTGTGCTATAGATTTTGGTTAAAATTTTATCATGTATTCCATATTTTGTAAATATTCATATCTCTTTTTACGCTTAGTTATTACTCTAATTATACTTTTTTACATGACCAAATTTTCGAGTATGTTTCCCAAATTCTTACCGAAAGAGAATGCAGAACCTGTATTGCAATAAAGTCTGAGTGAATCAAATGAAATAAGAAAGCCCTGGCAATCCTTGATTCATCGAAATGCTCGACGGATTTATTTAAAGTAATCCCTTTGGGTCGCCCCAGATCTAAAAACATAGTAGACAATTCCAAGTGTCCCTAAATAGACATTCGTCGATACAAGGGTTAGTGCAAATCGACAATGTGCCAATACCAGCACGTGCACAGTCAAGTTGTTGCGGGCAGACAACGAGAGACCTATTTTTGAATCACTCGTCTCCGTAACGGTACGCGACTTAGTAACATTCAACTCATATGTCGAAGTATGCTGTTTTTCTGCATTTTCAAATGGTTCGTCTTTGTCACAGACCAATAAGAGGTCTTTGTGCTGCCAGGATAATAGGCACAGATAATACGATATATTGAATATCATAGATAAAAAACGAAATATCTGTCCGTTATTCCAATGAGTCCAAAACGTATTTTATTAGAAAATCAGTGGAAACTGCTAAAAGACTTTTTGTCGTTAAAGCGACCAGCGGTTGACAACACTCGTTAAAACTTGATTTGCTAAATTTTGTTTGGTCTTTGACGTTTACTCCATTAGTCGCTTGAAACGAGCGCTTAGCGACAAGTGGTTGGAAAGCGCTAGCTGCAGTTGAGCGAATTGGTAATATTGAATATGTCGAACAAAAGTAGAAAATCAGCACTCGACGGGAGACGAACGATTGAAAAACAATCCTTTGCGCGTGGACCATTGACTTCCCATCCAATCTGCGTCAATGACAAGACCGCTGAGATTTCACGCTGATTTTTTATACCCTTGACCCTTTGATTTATATACACGCATAGATAGATCAATCCAAATAAACCACAAAAAAAAACGGCTCATGTTACGCGTTATGTGTGCGTGACTCTAATGTCAGATTTTTTCAAAGCGGTAAATGTGTGCGTTTGTACCATATATTGTAAATGTTTTCAAGCCGATTACGTGTAGTTAATACACGCCATACCTTTGTTTATATACACGCCAAAATACCGTCTTAGCGTGTATATAATCAAAGCCTTGACCAAAACTTAACGAAATGTAGACATATTACAATAGAAAAAAAAAGTAAACTGCTACTAATCTATCATTCGCTTAGAGCGTCCATTTAACGATCACACTACAAAATCTCGAGGAGCTCGATTTCGCAGGTGGTTAAGCAACTTTCGCAGTGGTCGGTCAATGGATGAGTGACTAAAAATTTACTATCTCGAGCTCCTCCGTGCTTCAAAAGACACGTTAAGCCGTTGGTCCCGGCTGCATCTGCAGTCGTTAGCACCCACCAATCCGCACTGGAACCGCGTGGTGAATGGCCCAATCTCCCTATTCCATCTATAGGGAAGGCCTGTGCCCCGGCAGTGTGGACATTAATAGGCTGATGATGATGATACTACACAATCAATCATAGCGAATGTAGAACGAAACTAGAATACGAGCGATTCAAAAATTGAGCCCTGTGTGCGTGGACCATTGGCTTCCCATCCAATCTGCCTCAATGCCAAGTTCGTGGAGCTTTCACGCTGATTTGTTTGTACCCTTGACCAAAGCTCGGGGTGAACGAATAACTCCATTCGTGGTAATGGGATCGGGTGTCGTGCTTACCACCGACAGAATTTCAACATCGTCGGCTCCTTACTTGCTTCGAGACCACCAGAATTTTAAGGGTAGCAACATAGCAAGCTTCGCGTTCAACAATACCCCACTAGTGAACTTAAATTTATAATTAGTGAATGGATTGAAATCAATTGAAATAATTGAAAACGAATGAATATCGGACTCTATATTTTTTTTCTAATTAATTTAATCACACTAACTAATATTATAAAGACGAAAGTTTGTGAGTATGTATGTTTCTTACTTCTTCACGTCTAAACGGCTGGAGCGATTTTAATAAATTTAATTGGTATGGACTTAGCTCACACCCTGGATGAACACATAGGCTACGTTTGACTGCGGGAAAATTCCTTAATAAACCGCGGATAACACCGCGGGGACAGCTAGTATAGTATAATGCTGCAGTAAAAAGGATGTTATAGCCCGGGATCCGGCCGCAAAATTCGGCACCCATCTGTTTACTGATGAAACCTAATTTAAAAGAATGATTAGTGAGTATACATTGTAAGTAGTGAAATAAAGTATCATAAAAAACGGACCGCTGCATTGAGCGGTGGGTTCTCAGACTTGGGCCCACTAAGTTTGTACAATCATTCCAACCAGTAGCCGGTACACATAATATTACAGCTAAAATAAATAAGGAATAATATCATTGTCACATTAATAGGGGTGATGACGGGGTACAGTAAACGAAATTCTATTTAATCCGTCAGTTAGATGATCAAAAAATAACGGACACGTATTTTTTCTTTGAGCAATCCACCAAAGAATGACAAAGTTATAGCGCGTCAAAGTTTGGGAGTAGGGGCCCGTGACGTCACTTTTGAGTGAATTTTCACTTATAAGTGTACTCAAACGTGACGTCATGCGACTTTTCAAATCAATATATCTCAGCACTGTTTATATTATGTGAAAAAAGAAAAAATACGTGTCCAATACTTTTTAAATACCTGATAAACGAAGAAAAAAAAATAGTCATCATCCCTATTCTAGGTGGTTTTTATATGGATTGAGTGGTGGACCCGGGTTCACATGCTCACTTTAAAGCATGGCAAACCTTAATTGCGTTCATCTTTTTCTCGCGTTCTGGAACCAACGGCTGGCAGCTAATGAGAATTTCATCATAATAATTTGAATATGTTTAATATTTATTCTGTAATAGCCCATCTTGTGTCGATTGTGGTCAAACGCACTCGAATCTTTTATTGTATAAATATATAAAACTATTATGTGGCGTTTCTATTGCTTACGATAAAACAAAGATCATGTTATGTGACCATCCTATTCGGAGTAGACTTAAATTATATATACATTTGCACCGTGGTTCGATAAAACCACGCCAACACTTCTGGACACATCTATTGGCCCACCTTGTATTTTCAGTTTCGTTTGGTCCTAGCTAAAATTTTATATTAGGTCGAGCAAAAAGTTTTTATGCAGTTTTGAACCTGGCATATTCACAATTTCATTCAATAGTCTTTTTTTGAATTTCGAACACAGAATTTAAAGAAACAAAAGACAATTTGGAGCCTGTTTGTTGATATCAAACAATCGAATACTAAAAAAACTTGGTTTTATTGGTTTACTTGGATTTAATTCTTGAAAAAGTGATTGATATCTTTGGTTTTGCAACAAACATTACTTATTCTTAACATTAAGGTTAGGTTCTATCAATAATCTATGGATACTTCACCTGAAGTCGCCGCCCAAGCTGTGGCATTTATTCAGGCTGGACACAGCCAAAGAACCGTGAGTGCTCAACTTAATTTAAGTCGATCTGCGGTCCGAAATGTTTATCGGAGGTAGCTAGAGACTGGCGGCTTTGTTCGTCGCCAAGGAAGGCCACGATCTCGGG